GGTGAAGCGGTTTTCTGCACCTTATGTGCAGGTTCTTCAACAGACGGCCGTTGCCGGATCTGTTTTTGCAGAGAGCGGGGGATAACACCCCCATCCTGAGACAAGGTCACAAACGGTCAGGCGGAAATGGCCAAAATGGCATCAAGGCAAACAAATAATGAAGGTCAGACGGGCTAACCTTTTAAGCCGCCTGAGCGGCAAGTTTCTTCTCCAGATTCTCCTTTCGGATATCTGAAGCTTTCTTGGCGGGTGTCTTGGCGGTGGGCAGCATGTTTTTAGCTTCTTCTGCAAGACGCAAATACATCCAGTCAGAATCATGATAATTTCACATTGCAATCAAAAGAAAAAGGTTAGCCGGCATAAAATTAACCGGCTAAGGTTCGTAGCTTACGTCTTTCAAACATGCTGCTAAGCCCGCAGGCGGACAAGAAGCACTCATCCTTAAAGAATTCGTGTTTGGGCACCCAGTTTTTGGGCACCCTTATTATCTCTCCGGTTGAGAGAGTGGAAGAGGTTAGTTCAAAAAATCCGGAGTCCAATATGGCCTCCCTGTCATGATCCGGCACTGGGGGCAGCCGGCACTTCTGCCCCAAAAGCTCTGGTTTCCGGTTGTAGGTCCGGAACTCCCTGTTTTCCTCCTCAGTCGGATCTTTGACCAGGTAGAACCGGTTCTTCCAGTCCGACCATTTAGACGGCTTATCCAGTGTCATCATATATTGAGGATAAGTCGTCAAGGTGTACCAGGCTCTCCAGCCGCCTGGGCTCCTGCTCAAATAATGCATTTGGGCAAACGCCTCCTAGCCGGGGTTGAGATCCTGCATCTCGCAGGCGGCGATGTACCCTAGAATGTTCACCCAAGAATTAGGGGTGAGTTGCCAAACGCCTAGGCCATATCCCCTAAGTATGGCCTTTATCGTGTTGTGAAGGGGGAAGCGGACACCGGCTAGGAAAGCCGCCTCATAGCACCCAAACCAACTGTTAGCGTTGGGTTGGTCATCTTCCCATATAACCGTCCCGAACTCCCCCGGTACGGACAGCTTGTACCCTCCTCCAAGCGGTCGCTTGGTAATGAAGTCTGTTAGAGAAGACCGCATGAGGGCCCGGTCCTTGAGAGAGACGGCGATCATGAGAGGGTTGTTTCTACTTTGCCACGAAGGCCTCTCCGCCTCCTCGCTATCTTCTGACATGGTCAAGTAGCTAGTGCTACTGCTTTCGATGCGACCGTCATCAGAGCCGGATGGGGAGTTGGGACCCTCATTGACGGATCCTGGCAGCTCAGTCTCCTGAGCAGGAGAAGTCTCCTCGTTGTGGGAGCCTAAAATACTATCGCTTGGGGTGGCGGGAGTGCCGCCGGATGGTTCTCTAGCCGCCTCGTCCGGGGCTCGTCTCTTAGGCGACAACTCATTTGAGTCTCCGCCTCTGTAATTGGGGTCCATAGTCGTTCCCCTAATTCTAGCCATCGTGTCCTGCACAGACACGGAGTCGGTCGATACAGGCGTTGAAAAGGGGAAATTCCAAAGATCAGAGGCGGCAGATCCAGTTCTAGACTCAGCCGTACTAATTGACCGGCTAGGTTCACAACTATGTTCCGGGTATGGGTATAAAGGGTCCATCTACCTCTTCCTCCTCCGAATGAAATTCGATAGGATCCATAGAGACCATACCTTCATCCATAGGATTTCAAGTACCAGAGGGACTGATAAAAAAAATGCAAGCAAAAGACGCAAACGGAAATACATGGAAAAGCGAGAAGGAATAGAGACGGTACCTAGAGTAACGAAGAATTTGCTGAAACCTCAAGAAATTTCTTGGGGATGCTTGCAAAGACACAGACGGTTTGAAGACCGCCTGGGTTCTCTTGGGTACCCTCACGAAAAAACCTTTGCTTGCTTGCTAACTTACAGGCGGTCTGGTAACTGGCTGCTTTAAATTATCAGATTTTCGTCTGCTCTCAATTCTCAAGTACCGGATGCTCTCAAAATTCAAGAAAATTCACGAAGTTTGTAAATGAGCTCTCGTGGGAGTCTCCTCCTATTTATATGGGATGCCTCAGAAGGCGAAGGGACGCGACCTTTCCCCTTCTGCTTTTCCCTCTTCTTTTAGTTAGAATCTGAAGAGGTTCCAATTCAAATTCAAAAAAAAAAAAAATAATATATATATTTTTTGCATACGTCAGCGTTCTTCTCAGGTGCACGTGGCACCCTGCCACATCAGCACCTGAGAGGGACAAATGTTTGGGGTAAAAATACCCCAGCCACGTGGCCCTATGGCTAAGCGACACGTGGCACCCAGCCATTGGTCAGCAGGGCTCCAATCCCCTGCTGACACGTGTCCCATGAACCCTAAATTGGGAACCAAGTCTCCCCACTATAAATAGTGGGGGGATCCTCATTAATGGGTATTCATAAATTCATTCATAAATACTTACACAAAACCCGATCAATATTAATTGCGGAATTCCCCCATTACGCGAGAAGTAATTTCACTATTTTACGCACTATCTTCCTCCTGTACGTAACTAACTTGATCGTCGGAGGCGGAGCTCCAACCAACCGGATTCTTCGTGGTTTTACAGGTACAGGCGGCGAAGGGCACTCTCGGAATTGTAACTCTCCCGCAGGACACATCAAAAAACCCCGAAACAATGATCATGCTTCCTCGATTGAGCACCAAAAAAGGCTCAATCCAAACATGAAGGAAGTGGTGAAAAAAGAAGTTTTGAAACTTCTTGAAGCGGGCGTAATCTACCTTATCTCCGACAGTAAGTGGGTTATCCCGGTTCAAGTTGTGCCTAAAAAGGGAGGCATGACCATCATAAAAAATGATAAGGGTGAGACCATTTCTACGAGGTCGGTCACCGGGTGGAGGATGTGCATTGATTATCAAAAATTGAATAAATCCACCCAGAAAGACCACTTCCCACTCCCCTTCATTGATCAAATATTGGAAAGACTAGCATCACAAAGTCATTATTGCTTCTTGGATGGATACTTGAGATTCTGCCAAATCCCAATCCAACCCGAGGATCAAGGAAAGACTTGGCACTTTTGCTTATCGAAGGATGCCATTTGGACTTTGTAATGCACCTTCCACGTTTCAAAGGTGTATGATGTTTATCTTTTCCGACATGCTTGAATCATCAATCGAGGTATTCATGGATGACTTTTCTGTTTTTGGTTCATCTTTTGACACTTGTCTTTCGAATTTGATTAAAGTGTTAAAAAGATGTCAAGAGGTGAACTTAGTTTTGAATTGGGAAAAATGTCATTCATGGTAGAGGAGGGCATTGTTCTTGGTCATGTGATTTCTAGTAGGGGCATTGAAGTAGATCGTGCCAAGATCGAGGTAATTGAGCGCCTCCCACCCCCTACAAATGTGAAGGGGATAAGGAGGTTTCTTGGACATGCGGGTTTTTACTGCCGGTTCATAAAGGATTTTTCAAAAATCGCAAAGCTGCTCACTCAACTGTTTGTGAAAGATGCCCCTTTTGTGTTTACTAATGATTGTTTGCTAGCATTTGATAGGTTAAAGGAGGCCTTGATTTTGGCCCCTATCATTCAACCCCCTAATTGGGAGCTTCCTTTCGAGCTCATGTGTGATGCTTCGGATTTTATCGTTGGGTCTGTTCTTGGACAAAGGAAGGACAAGAAGCTCCATGCTATCTATTATACTAGCAAAACATTGGATGAGGCACAAAGAAATTACACAACCACGGAAAAGGAGTTTCTAGCCATTGTTCATGCAATTGAGAAGTTTAGGTCCTACTTGTTGGGCTCTAAGGTCATAGTCTTCACCGACCATTCGGCTTTGAAGTACCTTTTTTCCAAGAAGGAACCAAATCCAAGATTGATACGGTAGGTCTTGCTTTTGCAAGATTATGACATTGAGATTAGAGACTAAAAGGTCCTAGTTGTTGGGCTCTAAGGTCATAGTCTTCACCGACCATTCGGCCTTGAAGTACCTTTTGTCCAAGAAGGAACCAAATCCAAGATTGATACGGTAGGTCTTGCTTTTGCAATATTATGACATTGAGATTAGAGACTAAAAGGGTGCCGAAAATGTAGTGCCCGATCGCCTATCTTTGTAGGTGATCTTGATAACTTGCCAATTGATGATTCATTTCTAGATGATCAACTATTTGCTATCCTTCAAGCACCGGCACCATGGTTTGCGGACATTGCAAACTATTTGTCTTGCTCTATTCTTCCTCTCGACCTCACCTATCAACAAAAAAGGAACTTTCTTCATGATGTTCGCCAATACATTTGGGACGACCCCTTGCTCTTTAAACAAGGTGTTGATGGCCTTTTTAGAAGTTGTGTCCCGGATGATGAGATTGAAGATGTTATCACAATGTGTCACTCCTCACCTTTTGGAGGGCATATGAGTGCTAACAAAACCTTGGCGAAAGTATTGCAATGTGGTTTCTATTGGCCTATAATGTTCAAAGATGTGTGGGGTGTAGTGAAAGCTTGTGACTGGTGTCAAAGAATCGACAATATTTCAAGAAGAAATGAAATGCCTTTGAACAACATTCTTGAGTTGGAGATATTCAATGTATGGGGCATAGATTTTATCGGGGCCTTTTCCGACTTCTTTTGGGAATAAATTCATTCTTGTGGCCGTCGATTACGTGTCAAAGTGGGTAGAAACGGTTGCATCTCCTACTAATGATGCTAAGGTGGTGGTCAAGCTATTCAAAAAGATAATTTTCCCAAGGTTCAGGGTGCCACGTGCCGTCATTAGTGATGCAGATTTGCATGCAAAGTGGTCCTTCCAAGCTCTTCTTGAGAAGTATGGTGTGAGGCACAAGGTGTCATTGGCTTACCACCCACAAACAAGTGGTCAAGCCGAGATTTCAAACCGGGAGATAAAGATGATCTTAGAAAAGACGGTGGATAGGTCTAGAAAGGATTGGTCTACGAAACTAGATGATGCTCTATGGGCCTACCGCACCGCATTCAAGACTCCCATTGGCACCACACTTTACAAGCTTGTATATGGGAACATGTCACTTGCCGGTAGAACTTGAGCGTTGTTCTCATTGGGCTATTAAAACCTTGAACTTTGACCTTCGAGGTGCCGGTGAAAAGAGGTTGCTTGACCTCCATGCCTTGGAAGAGTTAAGATTGGATGCATATGAGAGTGCACTGATCTACAAGGAAAAAACCAAGGCTTGGCATGACAAGCATATCAACAAAAGAGAGTTCAAGGAAGGTGACAAAGTCTTGTTATTTAATTCCCAGTTGAAGTTGTTTTCGGGTAAGCTAAAATCAAGATGGAGTGGGCCTTTTACCATCAAAAGGGTTTTTCCATATGGTGCAATCGAAATCTCCAATGAAAATGGTGAACCATTCAAAGTGAATGGCCAAAGACTAAAGCCATACTTTGATGGTTTTGTGCATAAAGAAGCCAAAATTGTTCACCTTGATGAATTTGATGTTCCTCATTTACGTTGATCCTGCAATGTCGTCAAGCTAGTGACGTTAAAGAAGCGCTTCCGGGAGGCAACCCGAGTTCCTTACCTTAGACTATTATTTCACTTCCCTTATTTTAATTTTTTACTAACATTTGTCTTTTATTATCCTTATAGGTATAATTGATAAAAGGAGAAGTGAGAAAAGATTTTTGGGAGGATTTCCAATAATAATGATAATAATATGGGAAATATATAATATGTATATATATACTCATAAAAAATAAAAAATAAAAAAAAAAAGAAGTTCTAGTGTTCTGCACGGACGTGCAAAACGCCCGAAATCAAGGCAGTAGCTACTAACCCTCTCTACACGTCCGTGCCAAATTTGGCACGTCCGTGCCACCTTCCACACGTACGTGCGGAGTTGGTTTCCGCACACGCTTCTCATTAAAAAAATATGATAATAATAGTAAACAGCCCCCCACCGATGCTCACTCCTCTTTCTCAATCTACATCTCCTTCTCCTTCCTCCTCCATACTCCATACTACTACTATTATTTTCCAAACCTTATTTCCACCTTTAAAACTCCATTTTTCACTCAAATCCCTACTCTTAACTACAATCTCACACTCTCTTTCAACATTCTTAACAAGTTACTACCCCTTTTCACCATTAAAACCCCAAAATCTCAAAATTTCCTCAAACCCTAACTTTCAAAATTGATTTAGGGGTTTCTTGAATTTTAAATTTTTAAGCAAATTGGGTGAACAAGGATCTTCAATCAACAACAAGGGGTACTAGAAAGGTTCATTTGTGGGTTTTACACCCACGCCATTCTCGGTATAATCTTTCAAAATTGGGTGAGCGTTGGAATATTTGTTGGTAATAGGTTCTTCATAGTATAAGTAGTAAGTTTGGATGAGTTATTTTTGACACTAAGGTGGTTGTTTGTTTGAATTGTTGATAATATTGGTGTTGGATTGTTTGAATTGTTAATACTATTATTGTTAGTAAATTTTCGGAATTGTTCTTGTTGTGTATTGGTTAGGTGGAAGAATTAGAGTCTTGTGTGTTTCGATTCTATGTTTATTGGGTATTGTGCTTGTTTGAAGTGTTTTTTTTTTTATTTAAAAAAAAACATTGATCATGTCTAGGAGGAACCAACCAAGAAACACCTCCTCTGCTAGACTTAGGAACTCTCCACCTCCACCCACCGTCGAACCACCGCAAGTGAATACCTTAGGTATTGTCTTTAATAATTCCGATTTCATGAACAACTACCTAAGAATTAGTAGGAGACGAATCCAGACAACAAAATTTTACAACCAAGAGGTAGCCAAAGCCTTAGGTGTAGAGAATGATGTTAGACAACTATTCTTTCAAACCGGTGTTCCAAATTGGTTAGAAATGCATGCTAACACCTACAAACGACTTACCTTAGAATTTCTCTTCTCACTATTTGTCCACCGAGATAACCGCAACAACCCTCGATATATGACCTTCCAATTGATGAACACCCATCACAAGTAAACCAAGCATTTGAGTGGCCAACGGATGGCAAATTCGGACCTAAGGATAAGCCTTCCCGAAAGCATAACCCGGGATCTTTTTGGAGAAAAATCACCGGCCTATGTACTAGAGATCCTAGGATCAACAAGGCCATGGCCATAGTACACCCCGCCTTTAGACTATCCCAACGCCTAATAGCTAGCACTATTTTTGCTAGGGGAGATAGTTTAGGTGTAGTTTCTAACCGCGAGTTGCTTTTTCTTTGGCACTTGAGTGAGGGTGACGAAAGGTTGAATCTAGGGGCTTGGATTGTAGACCACCTAGATGACGTAACCACAGGGAGTGGAGTGATAACAATTGGGGGGACGATCACTATTATTGTTGCTTTTCTTAATCTTAATTTTGCAGATTTGGAGATCATTCTTGGACCAACGAGACTAGACATCCGCTCCCTCAAGTCTATGCATTGGTTGGAGGAAGAAGAGGGGGATAAGACCTACACATGGTTGGTAAGTAGGCGCCCCTATGCAACCTTGCCTAACCCGGTAGCCACGAATATTTACAACCCCGAGAATTGAATCTTTGAGCCGGATTTTGAGTGGATTCCGGGTGAAGAAGATGACCAAGCCCAAGGAGGTGAGGAACAAGAGCAACAACAACAACAATTTCAACAACAACAACAACCACCATTCCAGCACCCTTTTCAACAACAATCTCAACAACAAGAACACTACAACAAAACAGCTTAATTCCAACGGAAATAATCCGTCGGAAACATTGAAAAATCCGTCGGAATCGGCCTTTCCGACGGAATTTCGTCGGAAGTTGTCTGTCGTAACGACCCTTGTTGGAAAATGGACGTTTTCCGATGAAAATTCCGTCGGAATCGGCCTTTCCGACGGAATTTCGTCGGAAGTTGTCTGTCGTAACGACCCTTGTCGGAAAATGGACGTTTTCCGATGAAAATTCCGTCGGAAGACACCTTTCCGACGGAATTACGTCTGTCGGAGCTGATTTTGACTTAAATTGAAAGTCCGTCGCAACATTCCGAGGGAATTATTTCCGTCGTAAATGGAAGTCTTCCGACGGAATTTTCCCTCGGAATATCTTAGCTTCCGACAGATTTTGTTCATCGAAAAAGTGGGTCTTCCGACAGATCTTTTTGTCGGAAATGAATTCCTTCCGACAGATTAATTCGTCGGAACATAAACAATTCCGACGGGTATTTCCGTCGGAACCTCTTATGTTCCGACGAATAAATCCGTCGGAAGGTATTCATTTCTGACAAAAAGTTCCGCCGGAAGGTTCCTGTTTAATAAGCAATAATTTAATTATTTAATTCGATTTTGCTCACCTATATCCTGCACCTAATTTGTGTTAATTTTGAATTGATGATTTAAATATGAAAATATTTTCATATATATATTAACAATAATATTAATGTATATATTTTAATTTGTGCAACTAGACAACATAATTTAAAACTAAATACATGTCCAATTATGTACACAAATTCTAAGCTACAGTTGGAGTACCTATCCCTGCACCGCCGCTACCTGGGTCTTCGTTCGTGGGGTCTCGACGCTGATGTGGAATGTTGGAACATGAGTCGTTGCTGGAGAATCGACGCATCATCTCTTCATACCTCTCTTGGTTTCTCCTTTCTATTTCGGCCAATCGAGTCTCCATCTCGACTTCCATTTCACTCCGCATAGCTTGCACCCTCTCCTCCAACCTCTGCTCCACCCTCTGGTCCATCTAATCTTGCATCTGGGAGAAAGGAAGGTGTGTACTGTTGGGAAGACTTGGAACTCTTCCGGTTGCCATAATACAGCTCCGCACCTTGGCCAAGTCCCTTCACACGAACCTTCTTGTTTCGACCACCTACAGTTTCCCAGTACAACTCATTTGGACTCTTCTGAATCCCTTGGGTGCTTGCTTCTTCAACTTTCTTCTGGTAGGCCTCCTACAAGATAGACATATGAAAAGTTGCACAAATAAAGATGTAAGTTAAAATCAAAATTCTTTGCCTATTTTCTACATTTCTTAACAAATGAATCATTTCTTTGTCATACCATGTTTATTATAGATAGTTTTAGATGTATATGCCGTGAAATCGCAAAAAAAAACCAAGTCTCTAAGGTTTGGGAGCGAATTGGACCAAAACTAGAACCAATAGACCCCTATATGACCTATACTTTGCCTATTTTCTACATTTCTAACCAAATGAACCATTTCTTTGTCATAACATGTCTATTATAGGTAGTTTTAGATGTATATGCCTTTAAATCACAAAAAAAGCCAAGTTTCTAAGGTTTGGGAGCGAATACGACCAAAATTCAACCTATTGAGGCCTATATGACCTATCCTTTGCCTATTTTCTACATTTCTAACTACATGATCCATTTTTTTGTCATAACATGTCTATTATAGGTATTTGGGGTTGTATATGCCTTGAAATTGCAAAAATAACCAAGTCTCTAAGGTTTGGGAGCGAATTGGACCAAAACTAGAACCAATAGACCCCTATATGACCTATACTTTGCCTATTTTCTACATTTCTAACCAAATGAACCATTTCTTTGTCATAACATGTCTATTATAGGTAGTTTTAGACGTATATGCCTGGAAATCACAAAAAAAAAGCCAAGTCTCTAAGGTTTGGGAGCGAATACGACCAAAATTCAATTTATTGAGGCCTATATGACCTATCCTTTTCCTTTTTTATACATTTCTTAACAAATTAATCATTTCTTTGTCATACCATGTTTATTATAGATAGTTTTAGATGTATATTCCTTGAAATCGCAAAAAAAAAAAAACCAAGTCTCTAAGGTTTGGGAGCGAATTGGACCAAAACTAGTTTCAATAGACCCCTATATGACCTATACTTTGCCTATTTTCTACATTTCAAACCAAATGAACCATTTCTTTGTCATAACATGTCTATTATATGTAGTTTTAGATTTATATGCCTTTAAATCACAAAAAAAAAAAAAGCCAAGTCTCTAAGGTTTGGGAGCGAATACGACCAAAATTCAACCTATTGAGGCCTATATGACCTATCCTTTGCCTATTTTCTACATTACTTAACAAATGAGTCATTTCTTTGTCATACCATGTTTATTATAGATATTTTTAGATGTATATTCCTTGAAATCGCAAAAAAAAACCAAGTCTCTAAGGTTTGGGAGCGAATTGGACCAAAACTAGAACCAATAGACCCCTATATGACCTATACTTTGCCTATTTTCTACATTTCTAATCAATTGAACCATTTCTTTGTCATAACATGTCTATTAAAGGCAGTTTTAGACGTATATGTCTTAAAATCATAAAAAAAATCCAAGTCTCTAAGGTTTGGGAGCGAATACGAACAAAATTCAACCTATTGAGGCCTATATGACCTATCCTTTGCCTATTTTCTACATTTCTTAACAAATGAATCATTTCTTTGTCATACCATGTTTGTTATAGATAGTTTTAGATGTATATTCCTTGAAATCGCAAAAAAAAACCAAGTCTCTAAGGTTTGGGAGCGAATTGGACCAAAACTAGTTTCAATAGACCCCTATATGACCTATACTTTGCCTATTTTCTACATTTCAAACCAAATGAACCATTTCTTTGTCATAACATGTCTATTATATGTAGTTTTAGACTTATATGCCTTTAAATCACAAAAAAAAGCCAAGTCTCTAAGGTTTGGGAGCGAATACGACCAAAATTCAACCTATTGAGGCCTATATGACCTATCCTTTGCCTATTTTCTACATTACTTAACAAATGAGTCATTTCTTTGTCATACCATGTTTATTATAGATATTTTTAGATGTATATTCCTTGAAATCGCAAAAAAAAAACCAAGTCTCTAAGGTATGGGAGCGAATTGGACCAAAACTAGAACCAATAGACCCCTATATGACCTATACTTTGCCTATTTTCTACATTTCTAATCAATTGAACCATTTCTTTGTCATAACATGTCTATTAAAGGCGGTTTTAGACGTATATGTCTTAAAATCATAAAAAAAATCCAAGTCTCTAAGGTTTGGGAGCGAATACGAACAAAATTCAACCTATTGAGGCCTATATGACCTATCCTTTGCCTATTTTCTACATTTCTTAACAAATGAATCATTTCTTTGTCATACCATGTTTGTTATAGATAGTTTTAGATGTATATTCCTTGAAATCGCAAAAAAAAAACCAAGTCTCTAAGGTTTGGGAGCGAATTGGACCAAAACTAGTTTCAATAGACCCCTATATGACCTATACTTTGCCTATTTTCTACATTTCAAACCAAATGAACCATTTCTTTGTCATAACATGTCTATTATATGTAGTTTTAGACTTATATGCCTTTAAATCACAAAAAAAAAGCCAAGTCTCTAAGGTTTGGGAGCGAATACGACCAAAATTCAACCTATTGAGGCCTATATGACCTATCCTTTGCCTATTTTCTACATTACTTAACAAATGAGTCATTTCTTTGTCATACCATGTTTATTATAGATATTTTTAGATGTATATTCCTTGAAATCGCAAAAAAAAACCAAGTCTCTAAGGTTTGGGAGCGAATTGGACCAAAACTAGAACCAATAGACCCCTATATGACCTATACTTTGCCTATTTTCTACATTTCTAATCAATTGAACCATTTCTTTGTCATAACATGTCTATTAAAGGCAGTTTTAGACGTATATGTCTTAAAATCATAAAAAAAAATCCAAGTCTCTAAGGTTTGGGAGCGAATACGAACAAAATTCAACCTATTGAGGCCTATTTGACCTATCCTTTGCCTATTTTCTACATTTCTAACTACATGATCCATTTTTTTGTCATAACATGTCTATTATAGGTAATTGGGGTTTTATATGCCTTTAAATCTCAAAAAAAACCAAGTCTCTAAAGTTTGGGAGCGAATTGGACCAAAACTAGAACCAATAGACCCCTATATGACCTATACTTTGCCTATTTTCTACATTTCTAACAAAATGAACCATTTCTTTGTCATAACATGTCTATTATAGGTATTTTTAGACGTATATGCCTTGAAATCACAAAAAAAAGCCAAGTCTCTAAGGTTTGGGAGCGAATACGACCAAAATTCAACCTATTGAGGCCTATATGATCCATGCTTTGCCTATTTTCTACATTTCCTAACAAATGAATCATTTGTTTGTCATACCATGTTTATTATAGATATTTTTAGATGTATATTCCTTGAAATCGCAAAATAAACCAAGTCTCTAAGGTTTGGGAGCGAATTGGACCAAAACTAGAACCAATAGACCCCTATATGACCTATACTTTGCCTATTTTCTACATTTCAAACCAAATGAACCATTTCTTTGTCATAACATGTCTATCATAGGTAGTTTTAGACTTATATGCCTTGAAATCACAAAAAAAAGCCAAGTCTCTAAGGTTTGGGAGCGAATACGACCAAAATTCAACCTATTGAGGCCTATATGACCTATCCTTTGCCTATTTTCTACATTTCTTAACAAATGAATCATTTCTTTGTCATACCATGTTTGTTATAGATATTTTTAGATGTATATTCCTTGAAATCGCAAAAAAAAAACCAAGTCTCTAAGGTTTGGGAGCGAATTGGACCAAAACTAGAATCAACAGACCCCTATATGACCTATACTTTGCCTATTTTCTACATTTCTAACCAACTGAACCATTTATTTGTCATAACATGTCTATAAAAGGTAGTTTTAGACGTATATGCCTTGAAATCACAAAAAAAAAGCCAAGTCTCTAAGGTTTGGGAGCGAATACGACCAAAATTCAACCTATTGAGGCCTATATGACCTATCCTTTGCCTATTTTCTTCATTTCTAACTACATGATCCATTTTTTTGTCATAACATGTCTATTATTGGTAGTTGGGGTTGTATATGCCTTTAAATCACAAAAAAAAACCAAGTCTCTAAGGTTAGGGAGCGAATTGGACCAAAACTAGAACCAATAGACCCCTATATGACCTATACTTCGCCTATTTTCTATATTTCTAACCAAATGAACCATTTCTTTGTCATAACATGTCTATTATAGGTAGTTATAGACGTATATGCCTTGAAATCACAAAAAAAAGCCAAGTCTCTATGGTTTGGGAGCGAATACGACCAAAATTCAACCTATTGTGGCCTATATGACCTATCCTTTGCCTATTTTCTACATTTCTAACTACATGTTCCATTTTTTTTTCATAACATGTCTATTATAGGTAGTTTTAGACGTATCTGCCTTGAAATCACAAATACAAACCAAGTCTCTAAGGTTTGGGAGCGAATACGACCAAAATTCAACCAATTCACCCCTAAATGACCATTCCCTTGCCTATTTTCTAAAGTTCTCACCTAATGAACCATTTCTTTCTCATAACATGCATATTATAGGTAATTGGGGTTGTATATGCCTTGACATTGCAAAAAAAAACCAAGTCTCTAAGGTTTGGGAGCGAATTAGACCAAAATCCAACCAATAGACCCCTAAATCACATATCACTCGCCTATTTTCTATATTTCTCACCAAATGAACCATTTCTTTGTCATAACATGCATATTATATGTAGTTTTAGTGCACATTCCTAGAAATCACAAATACAACCAAGTCTCTAAGTTTTGGGACCCTAAAAGACCAAAATTCAACCAATTCACCCCTAAATGACCATTCCCTTGCCTATTTTCTAAAGTTCTCACCTAATGAACCATTTCTTTCTCATAACATGCATATTATAGGTAATTTTAGGTGCACATGCGTTCAAATCACAAAAACAACATATTTTCTAAGTTTTTTCTTATAACATGCATATTTTCTAAGTTTTTTCTTATAACATGCATAAAGTAGTTGTCCAGGTGTTTCCAAGCTTCACTATCACTAGGGTGTGCCATAGTGCCTTGCACTCGAGGATTTTTCGAATGCCATGTCATTTCCTCCGAAATAGTCTTGGTTGTAAACAGCCTTTGCAGCCTGGGAGTGATTGGGAAATAAAACAAAACGTTCAAAAGCACTAGGCTACCCTTGGAAGTCTGCTTGTAGCGATCGCTGCCACACGCCCTACATGTAGACAGCTGGGCATCATCCTTCCAAAATAACATACATCCTTTAGGACAAGCGTGAATCCTTTCATGAGGCATTTCCAAGCCCTTCACAATCTTTTTCACCTCATAGAATGTGTCGACCATTTGATTGTTGTTAGGAATTGCTTCACTGAGAAGTGAAACAAACCCATCGACACATCTGTGCGGAAGATTATACTCGCACTTTAGACTTGTGATTCTAGCGGCCATCTCCAACACAGACAACGAACTACCTTCGTATAATGGCCTTTCAGAAGCCTTCAATAAATCCAGAAAATGCTTAGCTTGGGCATTAGGCTCCTCTTCTGATGAAACACTAGCCTCTTCGGAATGCACATGATCCTGACTTTGACCAAACGCATCGAAAACCATTTCACGATATTCGTTGGACCCTCTTGCAGGAATCGTCGGAAACCCTTCCCCGTGACACATCCACTCATAGTAATTAGGTACAAAACCCGCGCGAAACAAATGAAGTTTAACCGTATCTGGGTCCCAAAGCCGTTTGTTCTTACATTTAGCACATGGACACCTAACTTCATTCGGGTTACTACTTTCGGGATTATCTTTGACGTATTGCATGAATTCATCAACCCCTTTCTCAAACTCTGGATTAACATATGGCCCGACCTTCCTTTCATACATCCAGCTACGTTCTGTTCGTTTCATGATTACAACTTCTACACAACTCACGCATATTAGTCACAAAGCGTACTTCCTAACCATTATCCATCAATCATTCATGAAAATGCAAATGAGATATAAACTTCTTCCAAAGGGTCCTTATCACTCCAACCTAACCCATCCTTGTACGTTTAATCCCACTAGTGAATGTAAGCCAGGTTTTCAATTCTACGGAAAATCCGTCAGCATTTCTCTACAGTTCTCCAAGTACACGATGTAGGCAATTAAACACACCTACATATGTACCCAGAGAACACTGTAGAGAAATGAAAAGACACGATTTTCTGTAGAATCAAAAACAAGGCTTACATTCACCACCTAAGTGAGAATAAGCGTACAAGGACAGTCCCAACCGGGGACTATTCAAGACATACTCCTATTGTGTATGCCTTGAACGAGTATCTAGGCAAATGATTATGAAAATGATTCATTTATTATATATATATATAAAGTGAAGGTCACATGCATTATACTAAATAGAGATTTATTATAATTAAACTAAACTAATATAAGCAAAATAAGAAGCACAATTATTAAATATTATAACAAACATTATATCAAACAAAAATATTAAACTAAATTAACTAACATACACAAAATTAAACTAAATATTTTAAAATAAACTAAACTAAAATAAAATAAACTAAACTAGCATACAATATTATAATAAACTAAACCAAACTATGTTAACATGTTATTATACAATAATTAAAAACTAAACTTAAATAAACTAAACTAAACTAACATATCATAACACATACACATTCTTTTCTAAAATTTCAACTTATTATAATATAAATACAATAAATTGTATACACTACACTTACAAAAAACAATAAATCAACATATATCTAAATACAGTTACCGACTAACATGCCAAGTATAAACTAAACTTATAATATTAGGTTTTACATAGTCTCTAACCTGTAGATCTGCACTTGTTATTGCCAAAGAACAAAGTGAATCTACAAAACCTAAAAAAATATCAAATTATCCCAATTAGTAACATAGAATGTGATTCCTATGTATATTAAAAAAATGATTAAATGGTAACAAATTATAATGAAAAAAAAGAAAAAAAAAAAAAAAAAGAGGGAAACACCACCTGCTAGCGGGGGTGGCTGGGCGTCCCCTTGGTTGCAGACCAGCGCCCGGCTAGTGTAATGGCTGTGGGGTTCCTCACTAGCAATTCCAAAACCAAAAAAAAAAGGGTTAAGTACAAAAAAACCCCAAAAAACCTCAAAAAAACCCCAAAAACCCTAAAAAATACTTACCACTACCCGGCGGCGACAATGCTGTTTTTCAATGAAGATTTCGCGGTTGTGGTGGCTAATAGTGAATTCCGTCACAACATAGGTGGGGGTGGTGGTTAGGGTATTCAATAACTTTATAAAAAAAAATTAAACCAAAAAAACGGCGACTTACCGGCGGCGACAACCCGACAGCAGGTGGTGGCGACCTCCTTCTCCTTTCTCCTTCTCCCTTTCTCCTTCTCTCATTCCCTTTCTCCCTTTCTCTCTCTTCCTCTTTCTCCCTGCCTAGTTTCTGTTTCGTGAAAGAATTCAAATCGCCTTTTTTTTTTAATTGCTGAAAGGTTCCGACGGAAAATAATCCCTCGGAAATACACCCTTCCGACGGAATTTTCCGTCAGAAAAATATTTTCCGATGGAAAATTCCGTCGGAAGGGTGTATTTCCTTGGGCATATGAATCCGTTGGACGCATTCCGACGGATTTTTTCGTCGGATGAACAAGTTTTCGAGGGAATAAGGTCCGTCGGAATGGTTCCGGCGGATTTTTTCGTCGGAAATAATGCTTTCCGACGGATTTTTCCTACAATTTAAAATTCCGCTGGAATTTCCTATTTTTGCGAGGGAATTAGAGTCCGTCGGAATAATTCCGTCGAAATTTAGCCTATTTCTAGTAGTGGAAGGCTACCAATACCAAATGTCGGAAGGATTTCTTAGTCATGAGCAACAAATGGCCAACCTACAACTCGGATTTGGGCAACTACAAACCCAATTTGAGAGCGTTTGAAAGTCCAACGAAGACATGACAAAAGCCTTTGACACCATGAGGACGAGTTTTGAAGGACTTCGAACGAAGTTGGGTGAGTTCCGAGGTATGTATCAACATTAGCATCCGGGAGGATCAAGCTCCCAAGGTGGCCCAAACGATTGAATAAGCTTTCTTCTCGCCCTTTATGTGCTTCAAGAGTCTAACATTGGGGACAATGTTCATAATAGCTTGGGGGAGAGTCATTTACATGCCTTCTTGACATGTTAGTTTATTTTTGTGTGTGCATGTGGTTTTCCTTAACATCCAAAACCCTTGAATCCAAATTTGCTCCCTTGAAATCCAATACCCTTAATCCAAATCCTTTATCATGTGAATACTTCTCCATTCTCTTTAGTTAGTTGTGTAGTTTTTTTTTTCCTCTTATTCTTAACTTAGCTTAGTTGTGTACTTATTCTTGTCAAAAAAAAAATTGAAAAAAATGCCCAAGGATGAGACTCAAATGACGATGCTTATATGTTTTGCTTGCTTGACTCTTGAGCGATGAGTACTAGTTCTTTAAGAAGGGTGTATGCAAGAGTTGGGGTCATTTAGAGGCTTATTAATCTTGATTGCATTAGTATATATGAAATGAAAGCCAATGAATGCTCAATGGCACGCCTAGTATAGGATATTGTCTAATTTGCTCAAGTAGGATATGTTTGAATTAATTTGCGGTCCCTTGTACCCTTAATGTGCGTGCCTCCTTTCCTCCCCGAAATGAAACTCTATTAGGGAATTGATTCTATTTGTGTTTTGTGTAATAAGTGGCATAATAAGTCACATGTTCTTAATAAAAGAAAGAGCCGCTCACAGTTAAAAGAGGCGAGAGAATTGAATGTTGAAAAATTAAAAACAAAAGAAAAAAAAAACCAAAAAAGAAGAAAAGAAGAGCATAGAAAAATGACTAAAAAGGGAGAACAAAAACTCTCCCGAAAATTCTCAAAATTTTCTTCTTTAGAGGTCAACTCGTGGATGCCTCCCACACCTTGTTTACATCATTGTCTCTTGTGAAATTCCCGAGTTAGAGTGTAGTTAAGGGGCCTTGGGTGTGCATTTTGGGAGGTGGACTAGCATTTTGAGATTTTATAACCGAAAGAGGGCTTGTTACAACTTTGGAATATCTAGGTGTGCCCTAATGAACTAGTAAAAGGCCTAAGGACTTATCCTACTGCAACCTTGCTTAGTTCTCCTCTCTACCCCCAACTCATGTGCACATTTGTATGATTGGTAAGTCTTGGAAGTTGTTCACTTGCCTTGCTTGTGTCACATATCCCGATGAGTTGACTTGGGCGAAGAATTGAAATTGTGTGATTTTTGACGATGTGTTGCGGATTGTGTGAGTTGTGGGGTAAGCTCTTTGGAAACCCTCACGAGATAAAAACTCGTCCTCTAGGGCGACTTAGAGGTTTAAATTACTTCTCACCTGCGCTAAAAGTGATTGTGGTTGCTACCATGCGGATTAGTGTGTATGTGAATTCTCCTTGTTGCCCCTCCTTGTTTTGATTCTAGCAAGTTATTTCCCTTCTTTGGTTTGACATTATTGTTTTTCTCGAGGACGAGCAAAAACTTAGCTTGGGGGGATTTGATAACTTGTTATTTGGTATAATTTTAGGGTACTTTTGAACCTTGTTTTCGTTATTACTCGGCATCAAAGTTCATTATTTATCCTATTTTTATGAAAATTTTGTACCATCCATGCTTCACGGGTTGTTTGTGTTTTTTATGTAATGTAGCTATTTTTAGCACTTTGGATGTGATCAAGCATGAGTGAGCAAGGATAAGGGCAATCTTGGTTTATAGATCCATGGAGGAAGAAGGAGGAGTACCTTAAAGAGAAATGAAAAACTTTTGGAGAGTCTTAAAGGGTTGTTTGCGTTAGCGTCAACTTCAACTGACCATAACTTTTGATCTACTCAACCCTTTAAAGTGATTCAAATTGGAGATTAAAGTTCGTCTCAAGTGCTTTCCAACGACTAGTCACAAGTCCATTTTCGGAAAGAAAAGAAGAAGTTACAGCCTCCCAAATTTAAGCTATCAAGGCAGGGAATTCTGCATGGACGTGCAACATGGCACATCCGTGAAAGGCTGCACGTCCGTGCCAAAATCTACACGTCCATGCAGACCTGCTCAATTCTTGGCAGTAGCTATTACCCACTTTTTCACCCTTCTGCATGTCCGTGCCAAACTCGACACGTCCGTGCAGAGCCTTGCACGTCCGTGCCAAATTTGGCACGTTCGTGCAAGCCTGTTTCCGGGCTCTTTCCTCGTTTTCTCCGTCCTTTTTGTTTTGAGGGGGGTATATATACCCCTTTAAGCTCATTTCGTACCATTATTTAAGTTTTTAGAGCTTTCTTTTAGTTTTGCAATTATAGAACATCAAAACTCATTAGTTAGATTTTAATTATTAGGTTGAAAATATTCAACTTCAATCATTGTAGAGGATGAGTTCCACCATTGTTGCTCACTTTGAAGCTTCATATTAACTATTTCTACTCTTCTCTTCCATTTCTCTCAACTTAGTTGTTAATTACTTGCTTAATTCTTGTATGCTTAGATTGTTAATTATTTTAATTCTTAGTTTAAACTTGTTCATGAATTGCTTGAAATCTTTAATTGCTTTAATTTCCATGGATTGTGAGTAGTCTAATTTCTAGGGTTTGGGTAAAACCCTCAATGTAGTCACTAATAACTAGTTGCATGTGTTAATTTGGTTATTTTGGGATGTTAATTAGTTGAGCTTAAGTGGTTTGATTGTTTAGTTGTTGTATATGGCCATTGCTAGAACTATTTATCCAAGCTTCCTCAATGAAGGATCGAGAGATGAACTTGAGTTAGCTCCCTTATGCTTAATTGACTTGAAATGCCATGAGAATAGAAATCTCCGGTCAAGGGAATGTTTATGTCATCGTCATTATGCTTTAACACTTGT